CCTGCCTCTACCTGGTTCATTGATTCTCCCGGACATGGTTGGATTTAGTGCGAATCGTGAAAGTAATGTTACGTACGATGTTGTACGGAGGCACGTGGCTGCTTTATTGAGGAGTTTACATAATCGTGGCCGTCGATCGACTCCATCCTGGGACCCGAGTTTATTAATAAAGAAATAAACATCGTGGCACGCGGCCACGCAGATTATTGATTTAAGGGGATGGTTATTGATCGACCGATACCTTCTGATCTACTTCGCTGTGATCACCAGATGCACACGTTGCAACAATTGTATCCAAAGTGAAATGTTAAATACTTGTTTGGATTTGATTCCACTTGAAAATACCTATTAAAAACACAGTTAAAAGGTAGCATAGTTTAATGCTATAGTGTTAGCGTAGTAGTCTAATAGCCCTCCATGTCACTCATAATTTAGCTCGAACACTTATTAATTCATGGACACATAAATAACCACGAAGTATCAAAATTTGACAAATCCCTGGCGCATGTTTCGCTTCGTAATTCGAGACCAACAATAGTCATGTATCGCGTCGAATTAACAGAACGTAATGGAAGCAACGAAGGGTGATCCGTGGCGGAAGTTTGGCACACTTACCAACATAACCGCGATACTATCGTCGAGACCAGTGCGGCTACGCCATTGCGAGTGGGCGTGTCGATTTCCTCCAATTACAATCTGTTCGCAAGTGTAAACTACAATAAGTTGGAAGAATAAAAGTTTCTAGGAATAACAGAAAATTAATAAATTAAAATGAAGAGCAGGTGCGTATCGATTTTGAACTGAATTGAAGAAGTCCATGGTTCTAAATATTTCAAAATGGAAACCTAGCGTTAATAATGTAGTAATACGAAACATACACAACAAAGGAAGGATTGCGAGTGTATAAACTTAGATACACGAGTGGTTCAGCGTATGGCGAGCACGCAAGTGGCGCCATTAGTTGAAACACTCGCCACGCCTTAAAAACAACCATAGCGTTCTGATCTACACGCACATAAAATATTTTCTCTCGCCAGAAAATATCCTATTGACAAGATTACTTCGAACACGCTAGATAATTATTAATCCCGTTCGAAGCCCCAGCTAAAAACCGCGCCGAAATAACGAGAAACGGCGAGATAAGGTGATCACGGATCGATCACCGCTATTCGATTAATTTTTGCGCGTCATCGCGCAGAGAAAGAAGGCGCGTCTCGTCCGGATGCGAGGCTCATATGTGACTGGCAAACGGTAACGCGCGCATAAAAGCACGCCTAATGTTCCGTATATGCACGTTAAATTAGGATTTATCCGCTCGGTACACAATCGTCGCAGGTGCAGCCGCCTGTTTTCTAACGGGGACAAGGGCCTCGAGATACGAATACACGTGTAATCGAGCGTTCAGCTATTTACATTTGTAAGGGCCCACGGTTCGCTTCGTTCCACGTAATACCCGACAAAACCCTCGTTTCAAAGACTTGGACGTTGTAACTTAATTGCAGAACGCTTCAATTAATACTGATGTGACCCTGATGTCGTTTTTGCCCCATCGGTATCATAATTGTTCCCCTCGCGATGAGTAATTTCTGAAATCGAGTACGGTTCACGTTTGAGGCCGTAGTAAAGTTAGAGGGTTTTGAGGACTTTATTATGGAAAATGTGGCGAGTATTTGGAGTTAGAAAGAAGTTTTATTTCACCTAAATTAGACCCCAATATCGTTGTACAGGTTCGTGTGATAAAATCCTATAATCGTTAACCCTCTTTGATGAACACCTATGGGCATCCATCGCACGTTATGCATCCATGTACTGCATCCGCATAAGTGCACACATCGCTTAAAAGATTAAACCGATACTAAGCTAATGAGTATTAGAGTAGATTACAAAACAAGTCGGGTGTAAACACAAAATTGATGGACGTTTCGCAACAAGCACTCCTAATCGAAGAGTGTTTGTTATTAATAAAGAGACATTTTATTCAAAACTTTGTATTAATGGATACTGATATTAATTCCCCAGTGTTTGGTCGATGAAAACAAATTTTATGCAATTCCTTTCTCAAAAAGTACTCGTTATCTTTCCGTGTAATTACTGCTTTTATAACACAAGCGCTCTGAAGCGTCCTCAACTGGATCACGTCATACAGTAGAATAGAAATCCTTATGCATTTAATTAACCGAGATTATTCAGAATCGGCTTTCATGCGCGATATTTGATTCGCCGAGCGTTAAATGCGAGTTTTAATTGAATATGATAGACTACTCGTTTGTTTCAAATCACTCATGTTTAGAGCCAGGTGCTCCACTTTGAACCAAAGCTGAAAAATGTTCTTAAGGGGGTATGCTGAATTAGAAGGTCTAAAAAAAGCGGTTTTTCGTGAATTTGTTTAGGATGGAAAAAAAAATTAATTCTATCAAACTTATATCCTATTTTCATACATATTTGAGTAGTCTGTACAAATTTTGTCATCAAGAAATATTCAAATTGAGTCGACTGTGACGCACATTTGTAAAGCACCTCACAATTAAAACCTCCTATCAGCGGGAAAGATGCAGATCGTAATTTGGATTTGACATAAAAAAACCAAAAGAAATTTTCATTGTCATACATTTTTGTTCTGTGAACTAAAGAAATTCATACAACAAAAATTTTAAATAACTTTTTTATCAAGTTAAAGTGATTTTTTTCATCCAAAGAACTCGTTCTTTTTTTTCAAACTTGCAGTAATTTCACATTTCACCATTTTTACGGGTTTCTCTTAGTTCATATAGAAGAAAAATGTATGAAAATGAAAATTCTTTTGGTTTTTTTGTGTCAAACCAAAATTACGACCTGCATCTTTCCCGCCGATAGGAGGTTTTAATTGTGAGGTACCCTACAAATGTGCGTCACAGTTGACTCAATTTGAATATTTCTTGTTGGAAAGATTTGTACAGACTACTCAAATATCTATGAAAACAGGATAAAAAGTTCGATAGAATTAATTAATTATTTGTTTCCATCCTAAAAAAAATTCACGAAAAACCGCTTTTTTAGACCTCCTAATTCAGGATACCTCCTTAAAATAAAAAAAAAAGAAATACTGGTATCGATTACTAATTAAATAAAACATTCGAATTTCCAGTAAACACACATCAAATGAGTTAAGAGTTTAACTCTTGAATAATTGTCACGAATAAATACTTGCGTGTTCCTTTTATTAGTTACTCAATATTCCTGCAAAATTTTACTCTTGAGAGATTGGAATGGCGGCGTTCGAGCGCACTCTGTATGCAAAAGTGTGCAGAAACGCGCGGATGCTGCGAAAATTGGTGACGCGCGCTCTGACCCATTCAATTAAATCGGTTGATGCAACGAGCACGAGCTCAAGGAAGCCCGTAGGTCATTGATATGCGAACGGAGCGAAGACCTTGACGATCTCGTGACGAGTGTACCGTCTCGATGAATGTTAATCACGTGTCGCACGTTTCGATTCCAAACAGCCTCTTTTTTTTCCATCTGAGAATGAAAATTTGCGAATTTGTAATTGTCGTGTTAAAGATGAAGATTGGCGGATATACGTCGGGTCAGTATGCAACATGGTCGCGTATGCGCCTTCTGTGGAGCATGAATCATTTTAGAAGTAAACCGTGCAGCTCTGCATGGTCGGAGATACGTTATCTAAGTCTTTATCTTAACTTTGTTAGTTCCTTTACGTGCTGGCAAAATCACTGCAGTCTTATACGCTACGAAGAAATCCAGCTGGAGAATTCTTGGACAACAATCTGAATGCTTTTATTAGCCTTAAGCAGCAAACAATAATTTTCCACCCTTAAGGTTTGAGTCCTCGTCAAACTTCACCTGTTACGTTAGTAACCTGTTTTTCAATGAAATAAAAATTTGAAACGAAGTGACATTTAAAGAGTTGGAATTAATGATAGATTTCTTAAACAAAATGCGTTGGGTTGGGCTGAATTATGGTCTTAGAAAATGATGATTATGAGTCACTTTGTGAAAACAGTAAGACTTGAAATATCGATTCCTATCTTAGATAATCGTTATGAAATTCGAAGTCCAAAGTTTACTCCTTGCCGAGGCTTGCAAACGTTATTTATCAAAAGATTCCTCCTACTTCGTCGAATTTTCACTCTAATTTATTCTGGAATGATTAATTTCTGGACTATCGCCGTGTCGCTCATGTTTACACCTACTTGTCTGTTTAGAAATAATGATAGGTAAATACGCGTACAAAATGTATGCAGAATATGTTTCGTAAATTAATGTATTAATGTTAATGCTTCACTTTGCATAAATACATATGGTTGGGATATGTTTTCATAATACGTCGCCGTGTCTAGCGATAACGTCTCTTAGAAATTTTAAATACTCGAATGCAGCCACTTTTGACCGAATTAAATAAAACGCGAAAGAAAGTGCTTGAAGTTCATCGAAAATTTGGTATTTTATCGCATGCGTTAGACCGCTGATTTCTTTAAAAGGATGCGACTCACATTCGGAAGCCTAAACTCAGGAAACTGTTACCGGTTTGAGACTTCCTCGAGCTTCAGCCTCGAGGATGTAAGCAGTGTCTTGCTATTATGTTTTGCCAACGCTGCAATCAGCTTTATCATTGGTCCGATGACGCGTTAGTAACTGTATCGGTATCGAGTTCGGAATCAGTAATAGAACTGTTGACTTTATCGAACTTCTCGAGATATATATTGTATTATAAAATTATAAAAGTCATACGCTTTATAGCATCTATCAGTTCTGACTATTAGTAACTTTGATATAATAGTAACTGTCTTTTATGAGTCATGACTTTTTTAAAAGATCATTAATAAATAATGAATTAGAAATAGTAACACAAGAAATGAGTTCATCCTTTTTAAAAACACATGGGAACCTCTGTAGTTAGATGATCTAGTTATGCAGTACAGTAATGAAACAGGAAATTTAAAGCTAGATTATTACGAGTAACAATTGTTACACATATTAACTCTTTTCTCTTCTGTTTGCAGGCTGAATCAGAGGTTGCAGCCCTGAATCGTCGCATTCAGCTGCTGGAGGAGGACCTCGAGAGATCCGAGGAGCGCCTCGCGACCGCCACTGCTAAATTAGCAGAGGCGTCGCAAGCCGCAGATGAGAGCGAACGGTAAACGATGCCACAGATTTTTTTATTCATTTCACTTACACGAAGAACGAGCACGTAATTTTTATAAATATCCCTCCCGGCGCGAACCCATTGTCAAATGCTCCCCAAGGCATTAATGGATATTTATAAAAAGGAAAGGCTCGTTTACTTCCTCGCGTTATAGTAACCGTTTTACTCAATGGGTAGATAATAGCACTCGTGGGATTTATCGATTCAGCGAAAGTTGAGTTCCCGCGCTTTGCTCGATGCGGGCAAGTTCAGGGACTCTGTTCTAAATTAAACTAACGTAGAAGGTCGCGGAGATGAGCAGAATAGTATGCGAATAACGACGAGTAGAAGCAAGATATAGCAATTTATTAATGGCATTTGTTGAGAAATATTTCATTGTGTAGTTCGAATTGCAATTGTTGAGTGAATGGTTATTTATCTTGCGCTCGTTAATTGAAATAGTTTTTAGATATTGTTTTGCTCATTTCTGATAATAAGTAATTCATAGAAGCTGAGCAATTTCGGAATTACTTGTAATGTTTTTTCTTTTTTTCTTTCTGATAATGGAAATTGCAATTTTTCCGCGATTTTATCAGCTATTATCTGTCCTGCACGATAAGAGAGTAAAATGTTTGCTAGACAGTTAAACACGAGATTTATTTCAGAGTGTACATAGGTACTCATTTGGGACACGCCCCAAAATTATTGCAATAATGGAATCGGTTGGTATACAACGATTACTTAAGAGAGCATTCGCATAGCCTCTTCAAAAAGTAAAGTTTAATAAAATAGAAAAGATCAAACCAATTTTTTTTCAACGTTGTTCCAATTGTATCTGATTATTTTTACACACTATAAGTACCCATTCTTTAATTATTCTTAATATTTTGATCAATGTCCTCATGAATTTTTGCAATAATTTGAGGCTGTGTTTATTTATCCAATCAACGTGTGAATCCCCAAGAATCGAAACTAACTGGATCATCAATGAAAGTCGAGTCGAAAGAGCGTTTTCTCGAAATCACTTATTAGATTGGCCTAATGAGATGCCATTGGGGTCTATTTATAAATCAACGATGCTGCATTGTAATCTCTCGTGGCTAATAATGGCCCAAATGCAGAGCTACATGGGCGACTCGTGCTTATCTAATAATCTAATGTACGCACGGGCGTTATTGCAGAAAACATAAGGCTGGAAGCGAAGTAGCAATTACTGTAATTTCATGAATGCGTTTTCATTACGCAGCGCGAAGTGGGTGTTTAATTGAACGGTGACGCGATTAAACATTGCACGAGCGCTGAATTTGATATCGAGTTCACAATAATTGACCAAACACGATCATAGCAGAGTCGAATTAATCTATCAATTATATAATATTTTCTAGTACTTCAAACAAAACATTTTCTCTATGAGGTATTAATTGATAAAAATATTGATTAGTGCATTTCATTCTTCATGCACGCTCTTTCCCACGAATTTCATCTGACGTCAACCCAGATAGCTATCGATAGAACTAACCTTTCGACGTTGAAAGAACTCCGAGATTGCTTTTCCAGACTTTGCCACAATATTTTTATTTGCCTTGATAAAGATTATCGATAAGAGACCGTGACATTCCAGCTGCGTTCAAAATTGTTTCTTAAGGTTTAGGCCGCATTGCCAGGACGAATTCAAGACATAAAGGTTATAAAAACTTTCTTCTAGAATTTTTTCTCTTGAATTTATAATTTAATATGCTATAGTTATCCACATCTTAAGAAACATTTTGTGCTTTCCATCGGTAACCATCACACGCACATATGTGTCTAAGCAAAGTAGTGTCTAAGATAAGTGATTTATCGCGGCTGAAAACAGACGGACATTCGCGGTTTCTCGTAATAGCCAATTGGGGATTCGCGGAAAGCGTATTTTATCATTGTTTTATTCGCTGGGAAACATTCTTGCGTCGCTTATCTAAGTCGTAGGGGTCAAAAAGTTTTTTTATTATGAAAGTGGCTGCCAAGTTGTAGCTGGTACTTTCTTCATTCATAGCGTTCATTTTGTCTCTTTCGAAAATTCCAATTATTCCTCAAAATAAATGAATGTGGAGACACTGTATTTTGAAGTAGACTCTGCTCTTCTTAACGTATATTCAGATTTTTGAGAAATTTTTAGAAGGAAAGTTAATACTACCAACTTTTGGTGTTTTATACATTTTAGTCCATTATTAAGCAACGATTTAAAATTTTAGTCAGAAGTTTCTACTTCATTTTCTATACAAATCGATTATTAAGAGAATACGTAATGAATTGCACTCGAATCGAAAGCGAGTTTAACAGACTCTTGAGTATTTCGATGATCTTTCTTTCAACGGCGATTGAACCAAAGCTAAATGTCGAATGATAATCGATCGCTAGGATACGCAAGGCACTCGAAAACCGTACCAATATGGAGGATGACCGGGTATCCTTGCTGGAGCAGCAGCTAGCACAGGCTAAACTGATCGCCGAGGAGGCGGATAAAAAATACGAGGAGGTGGGTCACGTACCAGCGAAAAACGAAAGTCTTTGTCGATCGACAAACTCTTAAGGAGCGAATTAGCGATCGTCTCGACGAGCCAGGCTATGGTCCACAATTTATGAAACAGTTCTTCCCATTTTATTTAGTTATTGATGATTTATAAAAAGGGCTTCGAATTTTATCGAAGACACAACAATTTCTATATAAAAATTATATATTCAAATGAGTATGATAAATATTTTTGCAAAGTCCACGTCGTTATACGAAAACTCCTTCATCTGAACCGAGGCTCATCTAGACCAATCGCCACTTGGTTCCTCATGGTTCCTTCCAGGTTCATCGGCGGGCTCCAGAGCGGATCACCCTGGAACGCCTCATCGTTTAATCTAAGTTACTCCATTCTCTCGCAGCACATTGATTCGTTTTAGTATGTTAATCCCGATTCTTTGTGGTAATTATTAAAGAGCCCGCAAGATTCTCGAGAATCGCAGCTTGGCGGACGAAGAGCGTATGGACGCCCTCGAAAATCAGCTGAAGGAGGCCAGGTTCCTTGCTGAAGAGGCTGACAAGAAATATGATGAGGTTCGCGAGCCCACGACTGTCAAGCGTGATGGCTGCAGTGACACTGATAACGATAAAAATAACGATCACGACGATGACGATTGTTCCTAGTTGATAATCGAGATAGTGCCTAACCCCGTAACTCTTTGTCTTCTCTCTGTGTGCTCGAAACCACCGTGGCCCCCCGGTAACCAAAATCGCGAGACGTGTCTCGTTCGAATCGAATACCCTCGCGAACAATCACGAATTCCATATTTTTTGGTACCGGACAAACAACGCTCCCATCTGTCGATTCCAAACAAATTCAAATTCCCACGAATTTCTCGTCCCGTTCAAAAGTGTTTCCGTGCAGGAGAGCGAAACGTAATTTGATAATTAGGGGTGATACCGTGAGTATAATAGCAATCGTCTGTGATTTCGTCGAGCAAGTGCATTGATCGATTCGACGGGTAAAAAGTGCAGTGTTCGCATGATCTATCAGGGGATCGAGGAAATGGCGTAGAGAACGAGGAGGAAATAGTTTTAAATCTTGGGGGGGGGGGGGTGGAAGTGGTGACAACACGCGTACGAGTAACTGTGTCACGTGTTTTTGAGCGCGACTTGACATAGGACCGCTGTATATCTGTGATTTTCAAGTGATTCGTTGAAACGGAGAGTAATAAGCTTCACAAGTGCCAGTTTGATAGGAAAAGAAATTAATAATAATAATCTTAATAATAATTTTGACGAAAATTCAGTTCGATAACGTTCTAAAACCACTTTTTTGGTCGCTCGTCAACCCCGTGAATATGTATATTGTTATATGTTTGGTCCGCGTGTTCGGTTCGTCCGAGCGGAAACTGGCCACCGCGAATTGTTAATTATGTGTTGTGATAAGAACGGGGCTCGTCGTGGGTCTCGTTTCAACAATGGTGCTGCTTTTGTCCAAAGACTCTTTTGCTTTGCTGGAATTCGGAACGTAGCTCCGAAAATGTTCGAAAATCCATCTGTCCTGGTAGGTGGTGTCGCGTGCTCGCGTGGAAGTTACGGAGAATTCAAAATAAACTGGTTGGAACCAAATAATAACACGAATAATAAATTATAAAATAATAGTATTGTACATTATTTATACAGGTAGATTAGTTTTAATTCATTTGCTGGTCAATGGACTTCTAGCCAAGGATGTAAATGGAATTATTGTGTTCTGAGGAGGGAAGATCGTTATTATCTGGTTCTGCCCATTCGCAAGCATTATCCTGAATTTTGCAATTTCGATCACTCGATAGCTAAACAATCAAGCATCTGCTTAGAACACAGAATGAAGTAAAAGAAAGAATGTAGACTCTACCTTTAACCTTTCCACTGCTGAATTAATCAGTAGCACAAAAACCACCTCGCCTAAGTAATTATACAACTTCTCGATTTATACACTCAAACAACCATGTAAATATAAAATATCAACGCTAGAGATCTTATACATAAAAAAATTTACACGCTGTTACTTGTATCATAATATTCTTGATATTGCTGAAATAATATCATCAGCGGAAATAATATCCAAAGGTTAAATGTTCGAAAACCATGTTTGTGGAACATACTGAATTAGAACTCGGAGTGATTGCATGATTGCACGAGAAAGGATGTCGCTTCCTTAGCCATTACGGTCTGCGTATTAGAATAAAAGGCTCGATGAAGCCTTTCGATCGCTCCTCTGGCGGAAGTTTCATGTTATAATCGAGAATTCTCGAGTAATCGTTACGGAGGAATGCGCTTTGGCGAATAAAATTACGAGATAAGCGAGGGAACTTTCCTGGCATGTAAAACACGTTGCGAAAACGCAACGACGAGCACGAGCGGACTACGACGTAACATTAATATACTCCGCGGAGTATTAGACGGGCAGAAAGGAAAGTTCTCCGTGAGTTTCACTTGGAATCGATACATCCACGATTTTCTAGCGCTCGAGCGAGCTTGGAGCATCTTCGTAACTTCCAACGTGACTGTAACCGATCCTAGTAACGAATTTTAGAGATTAATCGTAGGTACGAAGACTAATCACTGTGTGTTTAATTAACGTCTGATTGCAGTGGAGTGTCGGAATTTTCAGTATTTTCTGCTTGCCCTAATGATCTAACCGCATAACAATTATTGCAGCTCGGATCAGTGGGGGCGAGCCTTGACAGCATCGACTTTTTTCTTCCTGGCTCGATGCAGTAATCACTTACTTTTCACCCTCGACTCCTGAAACGTGCGAGCGTCGCGCAGATTGTTCCTTAAACGATAGCTTTCGTTTTAACCTCTGACATGTTGCATTTAAAATGAATTCATAAGATAGATGAGACTCCGATACTCTTTCTATTTGAATACCTTCGTTACTGAGTCGTTTTTTATACCAACTAGCTCTACACGATTCATTCGATCAAAGAAATCATTTTGCAAAGGTGGATGCGTCACGCTCGCGCAAGGAGTCCTTTTGCATGCGTATGAAATGGAACAGGTCGTCGTAGACAAACGAAAGAGCAATTTCGATTTCATTTTGTTATCGATTCAATGAACGACTCTATGGATTTTTCTACGACGACCTCGATCGGTGTTCGAACGATTTCCAGTCCGTTCGAGGCGATCGACGGCGTTCAAGAACGGAGCGAGATCGCTCGCGTTCTTATCTGTTCGCTCGATCCTTTTTAAAAGATGCCCTCCGCGTCTGGAAGAGTTCCACGATAAACGTTATCCCGACTGGTGAGCAGAGATGCAAAGTTTCGCTCGAACAGTACGTAGCGAATGAATTCAAAGTATATTAGAAATGTAAATTGAGTCTATACTTTAGATCAATATTTTTTTTCCTTAGTTTTATCGACTTAGACTCGATCGGAGCGTAGCCCTCGGTTATCGATGGAATATTCATTCGAAACTGTGGCTACTGAATATTGATTCGAACCTTTAGCTATTGGATTTGTATTCAAATCGTTTTTAATATTCATAATTGCATATTCCCCTCTGTTTGTGGACAAGAGCTTTAACTTTTACAAATTCTGCGTACTCGCGGAAGTCGACTGGCGCATCGTGATCTAGTTAAAGTTGGTTAGTCTCTAAACGTTAAAAAAGAAACTCGAAGGTACGTACAAGGAGCGAGAATGTCTCCAATCATGGCGAACTCTTCCAGACGGTGAAGCGACGTCGCCATGGACCGTCTAAGGTGGGCAAAATTATGAGTTTATCTACACTCAGTATATTAATATTGTATGTATCATTACGAAATATTTTATTGAGTGACATAAAAAAGTAGAATTCAATTTAGAGAAAGACAGTATTTCGTAACGAACGAATTGAAATTTATATAAATTGAGAAGTCTGCTCAGAGCTCAAATAAAAATTTTGCCCATCTCCGGCGGTGGCAAGATCGATGCCAGATCGTCGATCTTGGCCCAGATGCTGGCCAAGACCAAACGCGAGAGAAAGAGAAAGATCTTAGGGAGATGAAACGGAGAATAAGGAGAAACCGTGTGTATGTGTCGTTTATACAGGTCGCCCGTAAATTGGCCATGGTTGAGGCCGATCTAGAACGCGCCGAGGAACGTGCCGAGGCCGGAGAGTCGTAAGCATCTCGTTTTTCAAAAGAAACAGTCCTCCCCACCCTTTCTACGCCTTCGCAACCCACCCCCACGAGTGCCAAAACGAGTTTGTTCTCCCCCATTAATTTTTGTTCTTCTTCTTTTCGTCGCACTTTCTTCACGATTCCTCCTGGGCGACGATAACGAACCACGTGTGTGCGAATGTGTCTAAAACATGCGTGTGGCCATTTTGTTTTGCGAACTCGACGCTCTTCGTTGTCCTTAATCTGGTTATATTATGTTTGTCCAGCGACCTAAGGGAAATCGGAGTTGGAGGGACGATCAGCACTATTTAATAGAAGTCTGAACAATTTATGTTTAGAGCAGAAAATATTGGAAAAAATACAATTGCGATTTTTGACGAGAACGTAGAGTTAAATACATTCGTGGAGATGAGTGTTTAGAAATCATCATAGCAGTGAAGCTATTAATATTCTACAAAATTTTATTTTAAATTTGAATTCTAGCTATTCCACGAATATTATTTGAATCTCTAAACAGAAATGCTTCTATTCCCAATAGCTACAGCCCCCCAACGAAGGCATCCCTCAGGTCCTCCCCATCCAAGAGCATGAATTCGAACGAAACAGATTAGTCACATAAAAGAAAAATGTTTCACCTACATTCTATCTCTATCTTCTAATTCTTTCTCAGTCATTCTCTTGGATAACAAAGCCACAGGTTTATAGAATTGTTTATTTGACGAAGTCCCTCCGTAGCAGACCAGCCCAGCAAATGAAGGATGGAGAAGCAGAACCCTTTGCATGCGTTATATACGATTTTTGTTCTGTATTTTTCGCGTTTCTTGTTTTTTTTAAGTCCTCATATCCTTGCTTTCTCGCATGACACGTGTGGCTGTTGATCACAGGTTGCCAGAAAACTAGTCATGATGGAACAGGACCTCGAACGCGCCGAGGAGAAGGCCGAACTGTCCGAAGGGTAGGTGGTTCAGTTTGTGCATGAATCGTTGCCCAACCCTGTTTCTTCTCCAACTCTACGCTTGTCTGACACCGGGCGAACACTGGTCCATGGCAAATCAAACGAAGTATTATGGAGAAAACTATTTTTTTTTAAAGAAAAATTCAAGAAGGGGTGAATACATCTGTAGGTAATATTTAAAAAGGGATGACTTTTCTGATATTGGATGATCCACGATATGTGACTTCAACCAAAATAATTGCTTTCTAAAAAAACACATATTTTTAAGGATACAAATATTGTCAAAAGCAGTCTCTAAATACGCTACTAAGATTCTTGTCGATTAAAGTAACCAACACTTGCATCACTTATATGTAAACAACTTGCGTATGAAAATACTTCGACTTCATTTCCATTGTAATTTTCAAAGCTCTTAAAAAGAATCCATAGAGTGATAAATAATTTTAAAAGCAAGTGTAAAGAAGCATGGGCAAAATGACCAAGTGTTCGCCCCACAGAGCGCACGCTCAGGTAGGAACTGAGCAGGTAGTTGGGACTCATTCTAACCGCTGATTCATTTTGCAGAAAGATCGTCGAGCTGGAAGAGGAATTACGCGTGGTTGGCAACAACTTGAAATCCCTCGAGGTCTCCGAAGAGAAGGTAAGCGCCATGAACGATTCGCCGTACAAAAATATTTACGAAAAAACCGGTGTCTATGTTCACTTTCTCTCCCTTTCGAATTCACTTTCTTGTGAAACACGACAAATACACGTTTAGATATCGAGCAATTTTTCTCGTATTGTTCGAGACGGACGAAAAAGAAATGAAGGCATACAGGGTGTACATTGCAACAGAATTTATGCCAAAAAAATGATTACACTTTTTATTATTGTAACTCGCTACCTAAGCCGACCAAATTATTTACAAATTAATGATATCCTTAGAATGAACACACCTACATGTATTTTATAATGAAATAAGAGACAAATGATTCCAAATTTTCAGACACTTCCTTGTTAACTTTCTTAAAATTACACAACGCAGCAAAACCTCTTCGAACATAGAAATTGAAGGGGGCAACGCGGTATATCACAGTTAAAACAACAAAGTAGAAGCGAGTCGTGCGATTCTTCTCGGAGCGCAGAGGTTTTGCAAGTGTTCGGCAAACACGCGGATGTAAGAAATGTAGGAAGTTTGCCCAGTAGATTTATGGGGGGTCGTCGGAGCAAACAGTTGATTTCGAGATAGATAATGCTCACGTTACTGTACATAGGCCAACCAGCGCGAGGAGGAGTACAAGAACCAAATTAAGACTCTTACCACTCGTCTAAAGGAGGTACAGATCCTTTTGAGAGTGCTCTGCATCTTGGTTTGCCAAGTGTGTGATTTGTCGTCGCGAGATTTCCACCGTTATGCTAAACCATTAACTCGCTAAACCGTTGCCCCTTTATTTATTACCCCTTTGAAGACACCATTGTTTTCCAAATTGGGGGAGCGAGAGAAAATTTCTAATGCATAACAACACTTCATACTAGTACTTTTACAAAATGAGCAATACAATTTTTTAACGAATCAATATAAATATAACGAACTCTCTTCGTTTGCAAAACTCAGTTTGGAAACCAACGGTCCACCCTGTATTTGTATAACCAATTACTGTGTTTCTTTAGTTCTCTTTTATTTTTCTGACCCTAACGTGAGACGTTTTTCTCTCTTTTTTTTTACGCTTGACTAAAACTAGGCGACGCAAAGAGAGGAGACTTTCGTGGGCCAGGTGAAGATACTGGACAGCCAATTGAAAGAGGTAAGTCCCGATGAATCGAACCGGAAGTGGTAGACTCCAGGTGGAGAATTTTCCATTCGCGAGATTCAATTCGAATAGAAATTTAGAAACGATCCTTTCGATCCTATGTTGGAATTAAACATTTCTTTTTATATGTATCTTTTTGGTTCACGATTGTTTAATTAGACACTGGCTCCTTTATACAGTATGCTCTTTTATTGTGCACATATATCTCACGTTTTAATCACCGTTTCACATATTACGCATAAGTACGAAGAACAGAAAAAGAAAATTGATTAAGTCAAAATTTTCTAACGAATAATTAATGTTTATATCAGATAGAAGGATAACGATATCATCTGTGTTTGCGATTACGAGGTACGATTATTGGAGTGTTCAGTGTGTTACAGACGCATAATGTGCGCGATTAACTACGTGCGAATTTATTTAAAAAATAGAATAAAGAGTTGAAGCATGGAGTGAAGCTTATTAATAAGAAATAACGAGTGGAGTTCACTAATATAAACAAAATGAGATTACCATGAACTTGTCGATTTTAAAAAGAAAAAAAAAAGAACAAAAATTGTTTTCAGATTTTCAAACCATACTTGGAGTAGCATAATTCTATCACATATGGTTTACATATGCGTAATACGTTCCTTAAATTGTCGTCAAGGTCTGCATGAAACCTTTCTAAATGTAGAGGCACAAATTTTAAAATCGACGACAAATCACGTCAATAGAATAGCATTATCCATACTTATGTATTCTTCCTCTTACTACAGGCTGAAGCTCGCGCCGAGTTCGCAGAAAGATCCGTGCAGAAACTCCAGAAAGAGGTCGACAGGCTCGAAGGTGCGTATTCGTTGACATCTTTTCACTCATTTCATCTCTCGTTCGCGATTATTACTTATCCAGTGACTTTTACTTTCACGGACACGCGTCATGTATTTTCTTTGAATTGAATCGCATAGTAACACTTGGTTACTTCGTCCTTTCATCGAGATATTTCCAGCACTAGACTTTACGTTCATCGAAATGTGAAAGAGAGAGAGAATCGAAGGGAGCAAAACATGAAAACTGAGACTGTACCATAGAGCTCTTACGCGATTATGGTAATTCGTTAGGGATTCATCGACACCCGTCCAACCCGTTTACTTTCCAAACTCAGTGAAAACCCATTCACCCGAGTCGATTTATTTCAGTAGATAAAGCCGAACGTGCTCGAAGATTAATGAAAGTGTAGACTGCCATTTGGAACGTTAGAATTAGGCGGAGATGAGTAGTTGGGTACACGGTATTTTAATGAGACAGGCTGTTTAAGGGTGGTACTTGTTTCCTGGAAAAATTGATGTTGGTCGTTAACACCACGTAGCTCTCAAATATTTCTGAGATTTTTAGATGGGAAAAGGGAACATCTACAGTAGCTGCAAACTCGTTAAAAACACGTGTATCTATTTTCATTCCCATCTCCAATCAGAGAAAAAGAATCTGTCAACAAATAAAATAGTTCCATTCAAGAGCTTCGTAATCGAAACTACAACTTTTCGAAACGTTTCAATTCATGTACTTGAATCATCTTCAGATCCACAATTAAAATACAAATGATGAGTCCACAAGCCTGAACATGTAAGAGTATGATGACAAACCATAACAACACTTAATTAATAATTGAAAAATAATAACCTACCGTTAATGTATGATCCAAGTAAACTCATGAATGCATCGTGTGCGTAAAATGAGAGACTATCAATAGACGACAGTCTGAAGATGACTCAAATCCATGACAAGGCTCGTTTTGAGTTCGACAGTCATCCTCATTGTAAACAATTGCACCAGAACTTCACGCACGACATGTTTCACATGACACGTAGCAAACCTCGTACAATCGACCGATTCTTCTTCTCGCAATGGAACATCATCCCTGCCATTCCCCTCAGTTGAGCAGAAAACCCCCTGAAATCCCGTAATTTGCCCGAAGACTAACACCAACGACCAGAGAAACCGATGATGTAATATCGCGTGGTCGCGTGTGACGTGTGTTGTGCATATATACATTCATCCTGTACTCTAACCGTCGGCTGCTGGTCTTGCTCTGCGAGCTAGCGCGTGTGGTTTTGCGTGTGCGCCTCCCTCTAACCAGTAATCTTTCCAGACGACCTTGCCGCTGAGAGAGAGAAAAACAAATTGCTCCAGGAGGAGATGGAAGCCACCCTGCATGACATCCAGAACATGTAGATCGTGTCTCGCGGCGGACAGAGAGACACGGCTTAAACACACACAAATTATAGACACGTTCAGAGACAGAGAGAAAGAGAAAGAGTGAGAGTGTGTTAGGGATACAGAGAAAGATAGACGAATAAAAAAAAAAATGAAGAGCTAAATGTCAGATTGGGAAAAGGGAAATAGAACGAAAACAGACGTCAGGGAAAAAGAGATAGAGAGAGAGAGAGAGAGAGCGACAAAATGATTGATAAAAAAACACGCTGTGCGACGCGAGCGCTTTCGTGTGTATGGTGCACACCCCCACGTTAACATTTACGGACATGAAAACCCATTCGCAGTCTCTTTTAGGCTAGACTCACATCCCCCCCCCCCCCCCTACCATTGTATGCCCAATCAACAAATGCGCCGGTTGCGCGCTTCTTCTTACGTGTGTATGCTTGTGTGCGTGTGTTGTTGTTGCATGTCTGTGTGTTTTGCGCGCGAGAGAAACTCAGAGAGACAGAAGGGCGGATTGAGAGACGATAATGGACGACGGATAAAGAGAGGCCAGAGGTAGGCTGCGGTTTGTCAAAGGGATTCGAAGGTAGTTTCCCCTTCGCCTTCGAACTTTTCTTTTTTTCTTTTTCTTTTGCGTTTTTCAGTTTGACGTCGGAGTTGTTTCCCTTTTGACGCGGCTGCGTTTCCCTTCATTTACGTTGGATGTTCAACCGTGTCTTCGGCATAGAGAATGATGATTTCCACGAAGCTTATGAAAGATGTACCGAGCATACTGGACGCAGTGGTTCTTAGCTCTCTGGAAGCTCTAGACTCTAGCATCAACTGGTGGACGTTCTTTTAATATAGCAAGAACCATTATGTTTGGAGTGATTGGTACACGTTTGATGCGCTTCGTGTGAAGTAGCTCAGTCTGACACAGTCATCAGTGACTCTTGCCCCTCTAGACTCTAGTATCTACTAGTAATCGCAGATAGAGCAAGAATCACTATGTTCAATCTTCTTGATATACGTTTGACGTGCCTGGTGTGAACTAGTTCAGTCTAACATAGTCATCAAGCACAGGTGCTGGCCTCAGTGGTTCTTGCCCTTTTAAGAGGACAATTAGTCCCAACAAGGAGCTAATGTCTTTCTCCTAGAAAAGCAAGAATCACCTAGGGCACTTGATGTAACGCGATTCAGTACTGCTAAGTGCCAATTGAAAACTTAACTTTCGATAGTCATTTATCAAGAATAAGGTTCTCCAAATAATGAAAGATTTTGATCTAGTGAAAGAGCTCCTATTTTCGATACCGACTATCTCTGGTTAGTGTTTCCAATGGAGAGCTAGCATAATGCCGCGAATACGATACGAACCACGGAAATTGTAGACGTAGTGGGAACGCAGAGGGGGACGAGTACAAGTACGGTATAGTTGAGCGAAACAAGACACAGAGGCGATCGATCCAAGCGTATACGCGTCGGGAAAGAATTTCCAAACGACTTTGTCGAGTATTTTCAGACATGGCTGCGTTCCGTCCACGCGTATCCTCTCGATTACTTCAAGGCCGCTGGGTCACTATCGCGCTAGTTAACATCTGATCCAAGTTAATTCCACGTCGAAGCTGAAGCAATCCAGCATTTGGTACTTTTAGGGTCAATTAGAGATGGTTTAATCCTCCATTTTCTGAATTTTATTTAATTTCATTTCGTGGCACGTCCACGAACTAATTCATGCTTCAATTAGAGAACCTCCCTCGAGAGAGATATAGCAACGACAAGTGGCTGAACTTATATCGAGTTCACGGGAATAGTAAAATAAAACTGAACGCAACCTTGAAGAGGAATATTTGACAGATTCAACCAAGCCAGACGTCTTTCCTCGACGTAGAGCCGAGTCGCGGGTTCCCCGTTTAAGGAAAGAGAAGCAACACGCGCTAGTTTGCTTCTCGTCGCCTACATTCCGCATTCCCAGCGGCTCAGCGTCCGCGAGAAGGAGTACCTTCTTCTTCCACGCTCAATTCCCTTATTCGTGATATTCTTGATGGTGATTTTTTTAAAAGACGCTCACTGCCAGCATTCCTTAGCGAGGATGAAAAATTTGTCGCGATTCGTGATTCACTGTCAAACTGATTCGCGACAGTTCCACGATTTACGTAGTTGAATAAAGTTAGATAGATCTAGACGTAAAGTTAGCGTAAACGTAGAGCTTAGCTTGCGACCTAAAAACTGCAATGGAGTTTTGTCGACGATCGATAGAGCCAACCTGTTATGAAGTTTTCTATATTTGTATTCCAATTCTGTAGACGCGCGTTACGATATGACCAAAAGAAGCACAGTTTTCAATAACTCTTAAAAAGAGCAGGTCGAAAGAGTGAAATAACATTTTTCCGTGTCGGCCTCCATTTTCGAGAAAATCGGCTCCGAATGCGCTTGCCCTAGGCACGCACATGGTAGCGTGCCCTGCGTGCTTTCGAACTCAATTTTCTGAAAAGTGGAGGCTTCAAGGAAAAAACTTCCTTCTTCATTTTTTCATTTGCATTTAATTTGAACAGCGTATCTGTACGCTATTATTCCAAGGGCCTGCAATCGTTAAGCATTCCTCGACGCGATGATGAATATGTTATTTCGACGAGACGATCGTTCAGACGCTGAGCCACTCGACGCAGTTACCGTTCGTGCCTGTATATATTTATTATCGTAGAAGTAATAATCACGGCCAATCGAACCTCGACGCGGGAAACGCGTTTCCGCGAGTCACGCATCAAAGAAAGAGAAAAAGAAACGAGGGTAAAAAAAAAGAAGAGTAAAGAACTTTTACTTCGCGACGCATTAGTTCGCCGATTTGCATTAGTGTTGCATTATAAACTTTTTTCTTCTCTTTGCGATCGCGAGGGCCGACCTCAAAGAGACGCCGCGCGCACACTGCCCAACGGGACCGTTTTCGACGCGTTTCGATCCCTTCGACGATCCCTGTAGCGATTCTCCCGCAGCGGAAGTCTCCTCGGGTGTCTTTTCGAGGCGTATCCGATGAGTCTGCTACATACTTTGTCAATAAGATTCGTTTATAAGGTTCTCAAGCATAGTTTGTGCAATATTTAAACGAACTCGATCCGCACGCGTCCAGGCTGTGCGTATCCTCCGGTTCGGTCGAAAGAGTCGTTTTATTTATATAAAATCCCGTGTCGAAATTTTGTCTGATTGCGAGATCTCAGAAAGTCACCCGAAGAGAGGGATAGAGAGAGAAGTATAACGTGTCCTCGGAGACAGCACGACGATCGAAACCGCAATTAAAGGATAAATAAAGCACAATTACGATTTTCCAACGCGTCCTGCCGATTAAACGATAATAATTTTTGTTATCACGATTTTCACCCCTCCGAGACAAGAATATCGAGAGAGAAAGAGAGAGGAAGAGAGAATGGGAGAAAGACGAAAGAATTAAAAAAATATATATAAAAAACAACTACATGGAAACGCAGATACTTGAGTTCACGAGAGAGTTTTAGTTTATTAATTTACTTAATATTAATAAAACGAATGGAACGATAATAACACTAATATCATTGTAATGATAATGATTATTATATATATTGCTATTATTATAAAACTGTTTATAATATATATTTTAATTTTGAAAAAACAGTGTGTCGTTTGTTTTTGTTTGTTGTGTCTTGTCTACGTTGACTTAACGAACGCTGCTAATGTTCGATCCCGTTTTAAAACACGTTAACAATACTGATCCATCGCGGCGAACGCGAATAACACCGCTACCCGTTGTGTAGAGAGAGAGAAAAAACCCGTGTGTAGTTGTTGCATGCCTACGCGCACAACAGGAGAACTGCCTGCGGTACGTATCGAAGAAACAACGGTGAGTAGACTTGCTTGTTTTTATTTGCTATTTTTATAGAAGTCCAACGTTCCGTTACCACGCATGACCCGTTTCCTTTCCAGGATTTTCCACACAGAACATCAGATTTTTCCATACACGCGAGAACAACCGGAATCTAAAATGAAGATCGATAGACTAAGAATTAGTTTCCTATTTTATGCTCCTCTCGTTAAATATTATTGAAATGGTAATTAGAGAGATTTAGGTGTCTCAGACGGTCCAAATAGTAGAGATAGCGTCTTCTGCACGGAAGAAATATATAACAAGGATTATCCTCTCTAAAAATATGAATATTCTTAAATTACCAATTAGTGAGATGTTAGATCTCCTTTCTTAGACGCTTTAAATTGCGTAGGTTGCGTTCCTCGCGCGGAAAAATCATCTTCCTGCTTTCTATTTTATATTTTCAGGAGGGAATAGTTTTAATAGTTTAGCTTAGCGATATATTTCATATTGAATTTGCATCGTGAATTTCAGTACTTCATGCTTCCTTAGAAGAGACTTCGATTTCATTTAACGCGACGCTTCAACCTCCAAAACACTACACCAAGTTCCACTTCCTGTCTAAAAATCACAGAGATGGACAAAATACCTATTTAAATAGAAAAGATTTTGCCTGTCTCTGCCGCTAAGCAACGCTTCGATTAAGATCATACAGCTTAGTTAACGCTAGAGTACAGATATTTTCCTTAAATCTGCTCTTAACACGCGATGCCATCGCTGACGATCGTCGAGGAGGCGTTGAAGGCTTCGAAATAACCTTGAGAATGCTTGCAGATGAGATGGTGGTTGAGAAGGAGAAATACAAGGAGATCGGGGACGGATTGGACCAGGCGTTCCAGGAGCTCTACGGCGTCTAACGAGCCACTAACCAACCCTTCTAACGCTTCTACGAAAACAAAAATAAATAAATATACAGACACCTTTCTCACAATCTCGCTTGCTCTTAACAAACGTAATCCGTAAGTCATTTGCGAGCTTTTTAACCCACTTACTCGCCGCTAACGACCGCAGCACTCCCAACTCGTTTTAAACGCGACACGACTGGCCTTATCCGAGAGAACATCTTATCTCGAGCCGCGAAAGTTGTAATCCTCGTATCAGACGAGCTATTTTCGCATTTCACGTCTGCGACTCCTTGCCTTGAACGTGCACTTACTGTTAAACGCTGGTACCGGGCGAGGTAATTACGGAGATCGCGTTTGTGGACAGCGCAGGACTACTCAAAAGATATTCAGACATTAGGGGTGAAAGTATCGTAAACTTTGCGTGATGGCATTTTAAACAAATTTTTGAGTAAAGAAATAGAAGAGAGTAGCTTTTTTATTTCAAGGGGTTGAAATGCTACGTTTTTATTTTCATTAAACAACCTTTGATACGATTAAAGTCACTAAGGGTACAAAGGCAAGGAGTCAAAAATCATTTTCATCGACATCAGAATGCATATTTCACTTTCATATCACAGTAGAGCCTTGTTAATCTAGATCATTGCTTTCCATTTAAACATTATCAACGCAAACATAAAGTTTATAACCTGCATAAGAACACTAATCCAAACCTAGCTTTAAAAATAGCAATCAATTTATAATCCTCATAAATATTCAAACTCTAGGAGTACCTATGTGTATTAGAAACATTAAATAACAAACTCGATCGGATTAGCGAGGTTCTTCAGTGTACAGAAGTGGTGGAGGAATTTTTTAATTTCTAGGATACCAACTATCGTGTGTTTTTATAAGGATAATTTTATATCTGCAATACGCATAAGGAATTTCATATTGGGGCGTCATTGTACGTGGTTTCCAATGTCTAACATGACCATCTTTCGTTTCAGACGAGCTTGTACACGAGAAAGAAAAGTACAAATACATCTGCGACGACCTGGACCTTACTTTCACCGAATTGATCGAGAAGAATTAATTGGTACTCGGCGATCGAACGCGTCCATCGGCTGTCGAAGATCACTTTTGGCCGATATCGAGGGAAATGATCGATCACGATCATGGTCGCTTCACCCAAGTCGGCCACAACCCGCTTACGTATAAAACTTAGTTATTGTAACTGAAAAATTACTACGTCATAAAACTACGTTCCGCGTTCTCCCATTCTTTTTTATTTATCAAAGAGACACGCTCCATTCTGGCTTATCAGAATGGGCTCCCTTTTTCTGTTCTTTCGATGTAAATTAACTCGACGGAGTCCCCTTGGAATCCTAATCGTGTCACGGTTCACCTATTTATTATTCGCCTCTTTTTTTCATTTATTTGTAACTATGTTCCTCGCCCCGTGACAGAAACACCGGTAAGTACTTAGTTTCGATTCACCTTCGAATATCGAAACGCAACGTCGATCTATGTAACCACAGACGAACACAGGCAAATAAAGATTATGCCCCAGAAATTGTCGACTGTATGCCGTTACCTTAATCCTCTGGAAACGCTTCGACACAGGAAGCAATCATAGTGCAATAAAAAGCTTGAAAAATATACACGGTGACTATATTTTTCTACGTGAATCTATGTAAAAATGTGGCGATGTACCGATGATGAAGTGCGTCCTTTTCCTCTCCGAACGGTGTCAGGTGCTTCGAAAAACCAAGAATCTTATTCTAAACTGTCCTGTGAGCTTAAGTAATTCAAGAACCACCGATGTTAACCCTGCAACGAATTTCTGTCCTTTCCGAATCTCGTGTTCGTCGGTCCCATCGACCCTAGCTTAGATTAACCCCTCTACCAAACTAAACAATAACACCTCTCTCTCTCTCTCTCTCTCTCTCTCTCTCTCTCTCTCTCTCTCTCTCTCTCTCTCTCTCTCTAATTCGATTTGTTGATCTGTCCCAACTAACTGATCGTTTAACACCGTCCGACTAATACCGAGTTCCCTTCCTTTTGCGTTGCAGACGTGGTGGTAAACGAGCGCTGTAAGTACAAAGCGATCGCCGATGAGATGGATCAAACGTTCGCCGACCTTGCCGGATATTAGCAGCCAGGCTAATTCTGTGCGACCAAAGGGCGCAACACACCTGCATAAGTTCATTCCTACAATACAGACACACCCACACACATATACACATATACACGCAAGAGTATAACTGCATATATCTAGAGCAAAAAGGTAAAATGGAAAAAAAAATTATGAAAGATCACGCTACGATAAAGAGACACACTGCCAGCACGCGGACCCTTCAACGCACCGACGCCCGGAGAAACGTTGACTCCTGAAGAGAGGCCAACGGAGTCCAGGACGAAGAGGACTCGACGCCCCCGCAGCGTCTTCTATGCGCTACCTACACAGCGTGAGACGTTCGATGGGATTTTTAAGAGTCGTCGATCGGCTCTCCGACGGGTGATCCGATTTTAGAGTTATTTTACGAGGTACCGAAAAGTAAGGCTTCTGGACCTTGAGGATGGTAGGAAGAAAGATAGAATTTTGAAATTCCATAGCGTTTTATATACGAATTCTGGGTGAGATTCTGTTGCATTCCGATAAGGAGAATATCTTAGAGCTCTAACGAAAAGAATCTGTGTTTAGTGAGGTCTTGCTATAAATTTTGATAGAGCATCAGACTTTGCGTCGTAGTTTATTTTTATTGCGTAATTCAAAACACAAGTTTGGAGACTGATTCTTTTGAAAAGAATACATTCAGACTGAAATTCTTCCCCTGATTTGTGCAACGCGAGGGCAGCTTATCGATGCATTTATTTCGAGCTTCCCAGCTAAGTCGACTAATAATACTGATATATAGGAGTATTCAATTTTGCAATTCGTAATAAGGACAATTTTACATTCCGATCTTTTCTATAATAACGATTATTCATTTAATGTATTGAGAGGAAAATGCTTCTTCTTTCTATTAAGGTAAAGGGAACTTAGACTTCGGTTAGATTAATTCTGTTCTTCCTTTAGTTGATAGGCGAGCCTGATTTCAGATTGTATTTCTCTAATAGTGTATTCGATTTTCACTTCTTTTTCATTTTTCTGTCGTTACATATACTTCTTGTACGAGTTTCGACGATTCGTGAATGGCGCTTCATGACCACCAGGTAGAGATGGGCAATATTTGAATTAAATTTGTAAACCGACAGTTAAAATTCTAATTTCTTAACGTAGTCTTAACGAAATAAACTTGGTGAAGATATTGAACTATACACAATTGATATTGAAGATATTGAAGTATATTTTCTAATTCTTTTATTTATTATTCGAGATTATTATCTAAGAAGTATGCTCATTTCTGCCAATGGGTCCGAGTATCGATTCTCCATCGCTGTGTAGGCATTCCGCTCCTGCGTTTCATCCACAACTTCATATCCACGTGGTCTCATGCCCCCATCACCGTGTTTACCATAAACTTTAGCTTGTCACCGTACCGACCAGTCTCTCGTCTCGTACCTGCCATCAGTTTCGCTGTAAGAAACGGCTTTATTTCGTGCCAACGACGGTCGTGTATCGAGACTCGAGCAATGATAATCAACGTTGACATTGTCCGAACGAAATAATTAAATGTAGCCCACTGCAAGAAATTGTTAGCAGATTTCTAGAAAGGTTTCTCCATCGACTACTAATCGATAGGAAGTTGATTAATCGTCGATACGATAATAAAAATATTACAGGATGGCTCGGATGAATTATACGCGTCCTACTTTATGTTATTCACTGTCGATTGTGTTTAGCGATCTCTGTCGCACGCTTCTTCGCTTGTGTGTCTCACGAGAGGCGCGAACGTTTGCTAAAGCGTATGTTGCAAGATAAAATGCTTCGATTGTGAATGTTTGAGATTATGTTGTGTGGAATATCGACGCTGGTATATAATATATCAACCTTTTGACTGCTTTGGAATTTTTTATTGGCGTTGCTGCTGTGTTCAAGCATCGACTGTCAAGGAAGTTCGTGTTTACGGTGTCGGTTCTTAACGAAGTAAATCGAAATTGTAGAACGAAATTTTTGCGTACGAGCCTTCATTTCTGAGAGAATCGACTTGGAAGCTAATTTTCTCCGAAATTAAAGCTTTTATAAAAAAAACTTTATTTTCTACGTTTTCGATATTCTTTATCATGTCATCGAATTTTGCTGAAAATAAAAATGATACTTCCATGGTGGTCGACGCGTTGAATTTCTGTTTTTGTGGCAATTCGTTTCGTACTTTCAGTTTCTTTGCGAATAGCTAGCCAAATTTGAAGTATTAACTAAATTGCGAGTTTTTTTTTTTAAATAAAAATTACTGATTTCTCAGTAGTACAAGTAGGAACAATTGATAGTACGAAAAAGAATTTTCATCTTTCAACGAAAATGGCTCGCAGTAGGGTAAAGTGTGAACGACACGCGAGGAAAGTAGAGAAAGAGATTCATAGTAAATTGATAAATAATATTAATACCGGCACCTCGTGTTTCTTGCAATATTTAATAGCTACATTTGTCCAGTTTTCCATACATCAATGGTAAGAGCCAATTGGCGAGAGGCTGTGTACCAGAGTTGGGCATTATTAGCATGCGATTGTTTCGAATAATTTTCGGTGCATATCATTGTTCTTTTTCGCGCGCGAGCGTAATCGCTACCGCGCTCAATTTTCATCTCGTGTCCGAATAAATAAGAAACGAGCATAGTACACTTGTTCGTCCATTTTAATAAAATCATGCCCAAGTCTGTTTTATGCGAATCCAGCTGAGACTCTAAATCTTCGCGATTTCAATTTTATACAACTACCCTTCTACTGTACTTATATCATCACGTTCAATAAATGTGCATTTTTTATACCTGGACACCTGGACACACCGTTTTATTCAATTGTTGCAGAGTTTCTGTTGACGCAAACGTATTTTTATTCTGTTGCAGCTTTTCGTTTATTCTGTTTGCTTGTTTAGAGAATTTCAAATAATAAACTCTTGTACAAATAAAGATCTTCAACTCGGTAGGGTTGAAGCAGAACAGAGTGTAGTATATTCGCTCGGTTAAACATTATTCTTCGTAATAGTACAAGATTCAGGGTGACGTAAAATGAAAGGGTAAGTTGAAAATTGTTAATTGCAACTAATGTGACGGGATTCACAAATCTATATAGGTACGTTTTTGTATTTGGGACTCTTCTGTCTGTTAATCTGAGATCACCCCGTACAATAATAATAATAAAATTTATTCTCAATCAATGTACTTCACAAGTGTCTAGCATGTAAAACGAAGCAGTCTTTTAGTATTAAAAGTAAAAAAAAAGAATACAAGGAGAATGGAGGATGAAGAGGATAAGTAATAACCCAGGCGACAATTACATAACATATTCATTGTTTATGATCTCGTATCATAATATAATATTATCTGCTTTAAACAACACTAATATATATTTCTGTATGATTCTCAATTATAATCGTAGATCGTCTTATCGGTGTTCTAGTAATTACAAAAAGGGAAGAAAAGAAATTGCTAACACGTTTCCAAAAATATGAATATATCTCCTCGCGTTATCACGAACTCGAACAACGTCCCATACGCGCGTAACAACATTGCCGTTTAATTCCTTCGCACATATATGCGGGCATATATAACTCACCTATTCTCCTACTCAGGTAAATGCAATGTAAACACGTTCCTCGAGGAACCAAATTTCTCAGGACAGGAATTTTGAACAAGAGAGGCGAAAGAAGAAACGAAGGATCAACGAGAGGGCCGCAGATACTCCGCAATGGTAGCACGATATCATTTGTTAACGACGAGTTATCTCGGTCACTATATTATCTGTACATTAATTGGACATCTGGCATAAAGCTATATATGAATAATCGAGACCATCGCGGAGAACAATCTCGTATTGCCGACATATCTGTGGAAGCGATCAAATCCTTTCAGTATCGATGGTAAAGTCAAATAAAATGGCGGACAGTTGAAGATATGTGTGCTCGTTCAACTGTTCGCAATATTTAACAAAGTATTAATCAAGCTCGTCCATACGCTACCCTTAATGTTTGTTAATTTCTAAGAGTAGTTCGGATCAATTATTAATATTTGGGTGATTTCAATGCGTGGTAATACAATTTCTCGTGCTTTTCAGGCTCTCGAATCACCATGTAAAATACTGTCGAAGTAATATTATACTTCACAGATCAGAATGCAAATGTACAATCGATGCCTCCGAACATTGCCACGCGCAAATTAGGTCGATCAGTACTGAAAGGATTACAGAAAGCCGAAGAAGCATTTTAATCCTGGATTACCACACTGGAATCAAATGATCTTAAGTATTCTTGTCTTGCGTTTACATAGAAACATCGTGGAATGAAAAATACGATATTGAACTTCGATAACTACATTTTTTCACCCCTTCAATGTGCATATAAACTAATATAATATAAACATAATTCTGAGAATACATAATCGTCTTATACTGACTGATTTCAAAAAGTATTCGTAAATAAAATCATGAAGATGTAAATAATAATGGTGCAACATTAATGAATCGAAAGAAATGCATGTGGTATTCCAGGGTTAACAGGGGCGAATCTCGCGTGATAAAACTTAACAGCTATTAGGTAAATGTTGGTTAATGTCGTTAACTGGATAAAGAACGGTAATAAAGATTTCCAACGGTCGTTACTTTCTTTCGTGCATCGAATTGAACAGGCGAAGCGTAACGAAACTTTCGTATCTAACAACATTATTACAAATCCTTCGTTATCCTAACTAGATTCACTTTCAAAAATAGTTCTAAAAAAAAAAGAAAAGAAAACTGTATAGAAATTCTGTATATCGTTTAACGACATACGATAACGTTTGTTTGTGGGATTTCTTTTTCATCTGTCTTCGTCTAAACCGCGACGTAAGCTCGCGTTAGATTATCCTAATTAAAGGTCTACTATAAGGCACATCGTTGCTCCTTTTGGATCACAATGAACGGTGTGGCGCACTCAGTGTTCTAGTTCAAGTTTGAGTGAAAGCCATAGCGATGCGAGACATCCTTTTCTGCGTTCTAACGAGATGATCGAGATGACTAATCGAGCTCATGTATAGAGCCATTTTTTGGAACATTAATTCACATCACTGTGGCTTCCACATTCTCGTATTTTCTTCGCAAATAAATAGCAATTTCCATCGAACCTCGATAGTTCGAGTGCAACAATGTGTGTTCTTCGACGAAGAGATGCGAAAGCAACGCGCGTAGGTGGACAAAGACTCAGAGGACAGAAATTGTCAACAACGGTGCATGCAAATGTAACAATAATCTTGCACTCTGTACAACCACCTTAACGTTTCGATCCTGAATATTGAATTCTCTTCAAAAACAGAGTTTAACATTGTGTTTAATGTTCTTTGTCTATTAAAATACCATATTAGTATGGTTGTAATCTAAATTAGTAAGTCGGAATGCAATTAAATCAAGGATTCCTCTTATACATTATCTGCAAATGTATTAAAATTTGGTCCGACGCTTTCAATCGATCGTTTCAAACAGGACCCAAGAATTAGAGTCGAGAACGTTACAGTGCTCGCACAGACTTAATACATAAATATGAGTACTTCTTAACAAACAAGCATGAGAACACATTACTTTAATTCTGTTTCTCAAAATCTCTATAGGTAAAAATGAGTAGTCTAAAAAACAGGTGTCGATAAAAAAAGGAGAAAACAAAAATATAAATGCTCGACCCTTCGGTCTTTGTCGTCGCGATATGGTCAAACTGGTCCTTATCGTGATAAATAAAACAGAAAGTGGAATCCTCGAAGCAGCGGAATGATTTCGAAAAAAAAAAGAAAAATAGAACTGTACTGTGTATATGCGCGTGCCTCGAATTTGACAATTCATTTATAAAAATTACTGCTAGCGAAAGGCACTCAGGGTGTTCCTCTTCGACGAGGCGAACGGAATTTGGTCCCATCATGGAATTATATTGTTGCAAGCCCTCTCGGAGGCCGAGAGAAGGTCACTTACTTTTTAGAGGCCTCCACGACTTCTGGAGGCCTCGATGTATTAAAAGAGAATCTTTTATTGCTCTCTTGAGTGCAAGCACTCGGTTACTAGTGCCAAAGAACAATCCCCATCGATTCGAATCGATTGTTCAGTGGCTGGAAGCGTTCAAAAATATCAGGGTAGCTTCCAGTTCCCCTCTAAAAAAGGAAGATCGACGATTCAATTGAAAACAACACTACTGGACAAACCGTAATCAGGGTGGTAGGTAAAGAATCCCTCTGTTCGCTGGTCCCAGGTCCCGATCTTTGTTATGCTTGAAGATTGTTCTTGGGAAAATGACGCTGCGACGATGCTAGGCAATCTTAGAGATCAATCGAGGATTCTTCGAGCGACTTGACGTGACAGGAAGGGATTCAACCGTATCCCGAGTGTTAAAACTCGAAGGACCGATTGCCTCTTCATGTCTTCCTTATCCTAGAGCTTCCTGGCGACTGTCTCGAGTGCTCTAACATCTCGAGTCTCAGCTTCTTCTCATCGTTGACTCGTCCTGCGTCAAAAAGGGATTCCAACCATGTCCTGAGTGTTGAGACTCGAGGTACCATGTCTTCCTCCTCCTAGAGCCTCCTGGCGATGGCCTCGAGTGCTCCGACACCTTGAATCTCAGCTTCTTCTCGTCGCTAGCTCGTCCAGCGCCTGGAAGTGACTCCTGCTGTGCCCTGAGCATTGAAACTCGAGGGAACGATTGTTTCTCCACGTCTTCTTTTTCCCAGAGCTTCCTGGCGATGGTCTCGAGCGCTCCGACACCCTGTGCCTCGGTTTCTTCTCGTCGCTGGCTCGTCCTGCGCCACTTTCTTCGGCTAACGAAGACGACGAGGACGTGGAAACATTGGATGGTTTAGATTTGCGCGGGCTCGACGTAGTTCGCTGGGAGCATGCCGTGTCTGCCTGTGCGCTGCACCAGACCGGTCATCCAGCCTTCGTCGATGGCCGTGCAGTTGACGATCAGATCCCCGTCGCAGAAGCTCACCTCGTCCAGGTCCTGGGCCTCGTAGTCGTACATTGCTCTGTACACTCTCTGGAAACGAAAGGAACGGTCATGGTTGAGAAAGTTACGCCAGGGGAAAGGGAAATTGGATTGGCGTGGATGCGGACCCAGGAACGTATCAAGGATTTTTTATTTTTTGGGGGCAGAATGGTTTGGTTCTGTTTTCAAATCTCGATTCTTGAACTTAACTTATATATGTGATTAATTATACTAATTGTTAGTATTCTTTTCTGTAGGATATCTATCTGAGGATAACCAAGGGAGTGACTTGATAAGATCATGAGTCCAATAAATCCATAAGGGAAGGAAACTAAACTAATCTGAACTGTGATGTTTGAAAACACTTTTAGTCTGACACTTTAAATATTTTGTTTCAAGTGGCCTGCAGTGCTATGAGGAGAGGAGGTATTGCATATTTGAGGACTTACCCCAACATTGGTGGGTGGTGGTGGCGGCGGCTGATGCTGTGGAACGTGATTATTGTTTGTGGCAGGCGTCAACGAACCATAGTAATCGTTCACAGGGTCTATGTCCGCCACAGAGCCGATCTTTCTGGTAGGTGGATTCGTCACTACAACGAACCATCATCGTATTTAAATAAAATGATTAAGACCCTTAATGTTATTCAGACACATCTAATCAAAATCTTACAGGCATACCTTCGACGCAAACTCTACCATTGCACTCACTCTTTGGAAACTGAAGTGTATATAGTTAAGATTTTCAGGAATTTTGTTGTGAAACGTGTCAACATCCTGTTCAACAATGTTTTAGTGTGTGTGCAACGCAGACGATGAATTCAATGACTGAGGAAGCGATTAATTATGAATTTATCTGGTTGATGTGTGCATAAGATTGATAATTGTTCTGTTTTGGAAAGGACAATTAACCAAATGATTAAACAAATTTGATAAATGTCCTTTTTCCACAGTCGATGCAGTTGACAACCCTGTGTTGGTGTAACGATAAATCCAGAACACCTTTACACGAAACAGAAATATCCTCTCCCCCAGCCACCGTTAATCACAACTTTCTCAATTATATTATCCCACACACAAAAAACAATAAAAACAAACACAGAAACACACATACACCACATATCAGGAACCGTTCTACACGACGATAAATTTAAGACAAGGAAGATAATAATTGACGTTGCAATAGGAGTGGCCAAAGCGTGTCTACCTATCGTTTGAACTAATCCAATTAAAAGGCAATCTATTGAAACTAGCTGGTTGCGCAACCAGTGGCCAACCCATATGGTCACTCATACACGAAATAAGTGGGACAAGAAATACATCTATCGCATTTACAAGCTGACTATGTTGCGTTCCGATTGTTGAAATTAGAAATAAATATGTTAAGACGAGGAGTCGATTCAACCATCGACCCATCGGCAATCGAAATTGCAACCCAGTGCAATTTCGATTTTTTCAACTAGATACAGATTCTAGAAACTAGAACGGTGGCACCTTTCTAAGTGAAGACTCAGAGAAAATTTTATGCAGGAAAAGTTGGCCTAACGAGGGCTATCTTTCTGCAATATAATCTCTTCTCCAACGCAACGATGCATGGCTATGCACATGGAGTTCTTGTACGCGTACTAAGTAAAGGATAATGTTCCAGTGTAAGTTGTTAAAATAATTAGTGTTTGACAAAATCATACTTTTTAATAAGTGTTTGAGTTTTTTTCAGGTTAATCTGGTAGAGATAACTCCATTCGCAAATTGAAACAGACGATCACGCACGATAATTTACGACGAGGAGGAAAATGGCGGCGCGACTCGAAGGCAAACGAGGGGTCTAGGGCCCGTAAAATCGGCGTGAACTCACCTGGTCCCTTGTCGCTCGTATAAATCACAGTGGTGGCCGCTTGTCTGGCGGAATAAGGGCTCGGTCTCGCCTCGCTAAGGGGATCGTAATCGGCGATCCTACCTGGTGTCCTTTGCACGGGCGAGCTTGCGCTTCTCGCAGCTGGTGGATTCGCATTTACGCCTGATGTTGGCGTGATTGTACCATCCGTGTACTCTACATACTCTAAATACAACAGACCACAGGCGATATATGCTCTAGTCAGAGATGTGGACAACTTTATTCAAATAGTTTATTGTATTTCTTCCTTAAATTTCGTGCAATTTTAGGGATTGTTCATTAAGGCAAGGCTGGTGAACCAGCGACGTCACTGGGACACCTGATCATGTTGCAATGGCGTCTCCCAGTGGCGCCACTAATTTGGTCACTCGCCGTGCGCTGAAGTCGCGGTGCCCATCTCTGTTGCATGTAATTACTTTCTCCGTGAGTCGCCCGCGTTCTCGAGAAAGTCGTCAATTAAAATACACAGAGCACAGCAAAAATCGTGATACAAGATCATTCCCCGTGCGAAAGTAGGTCCAGATGCTCGGATGTGCAGTGTGCATTCTTTGTGACAGGTTTCTTTTTCGAAGAAAGATGATTTCGAAACGTCCAGCACGGCACACGTGGACTCGCGGTTCGTTTATCGAACAATTTCTTATTCGGTTGGACCAAGTGGAACAAGAGCAACGTGTATATCGAATATTCCATTCTATATAAAGTCTAATTCTTAGACTTATACCACAATTTCTGCCACACTGTGCATACTTCGACAAAAGCGAAAGCAAGCGATTGTGCTTAATTGTACTGAGCCCTACTTGGTATTATAATCGCTATCAATATTAGGTACTGTAAACGGTGCAGGTCATTTAAATGCGATTAAATACAAGTGCAGAGTGAGTAGACGACGAAGTGAAGCCAAAGACGTAATAAATGAAAGAAGTGAACATATAATGAAAAATGGAGGTGAGTAATGATAAATAATGTAAAGGAATATAATGAATCATGAATAGAATAGTGATGATAAAGAGAAACAACAAAAGTTCAGGCTAGTATCGTCCGAGGATCATGCGTAAAGTATCCACCCGACAGCGTAAATGACGGATTCAGAGTTAAGAGTAATCTGGTCGATGTTTCCCGTTCACCCAAATGTCAGAACGGATACCAAACATTTTGCAAACAAAAAAGAGCCCACGGAAGAGTACAGGACAGGAGTACGAACGAGAGAAAGAGATTCGATGAAAGCTTGACTCACCAATTTGTTCGCCGTTCTCGCCGGTCATCGTCCTTTTCTGTTCCATGATCGCCTTCTTCTGGAGCTCGCCGTGATAGGCGACGTTCGAGATGATCTTGCTGTTCTGCTTGATTCTGAGCGTCTCCGGGTCGTCAGCCACCTGGGTGAACTTCCCCTTCGCCTTCTCGAACTCCGCGTGATACTTGACGTTGCTCTGGATCTTCGTGTTCTCGGCGATGCGCTTCAGCTCCGGCGTCTCCGCCATCGTCGTCGCTTTCGCCTTTGGTATGTGTCTGTAAAGCGACGCGAATTAATTATTCGTCGATTCGGAGGCAATTTGAAGTAAAACTGAAAATATAATAAAACTGTGATAGAAGAAGCATAGTTTCCGGGTGGTCCTAACAATTTAGACTCTTAAGACCAAAATGAATTTTAACTCAAATAAAAGGACGCATCGCTATAGAAATTTAAATTCTTCGAAACAAACAATAATAATTAAAAAAAGGTTTGTATGTGTATGCGTATTGTTACTTAAAAGTAGGTGCGTGGGAGTGGGGTTTAAGCCACAAGTGTTCACCCCAGCGGAAACAATTGCACAACGTGCAATTAATCGTTTCTTTAACGCCCGTGCCATACAACAGGCTTCGAACTGTAAACTTAATCGCAGGTCGAATTTAGTTATCGCGGCGGATCTGCGCGCGTCGAGGCGATTAAAAAAAAAGAAACACAATGCTGGAATTTAATTTACGACCAAAGAGGCACACTATCCGTACCGCGATCGCGATTTTATTCGCGAGCACGCGAGCTGCATTTCCTCGAGGGAATTCTTTTTCCGGCGGGCGACTTCCTCCGCGGGGAAACTATGGAAATCGCGAGTGAATAAGAGTTTCGAACGACAAGCGGTCAATGACGCTGTTCCGTATCGCGAGCATCCTTTGCGAAGCAACGCTGATAACGCAGCAGAGAGAAGAAAAAGAAGATCGAAGAATCGAGGGTTTCATGCTGGAAGTGACTGTGCCTTCGCTGATGATTCGACTCCTGATTTTTATTTGTATTAATGCCTCTTACAAAAATTAAATTACAGACGCTACAGTGAATAATAATTTACAGAAAACAATATTTCGCGAGCTACTAATTCAAACATTTTCAGCGTGGTTAAATGTATAATGTTTCGAATAGATCGCTCTTCCTAGCGATATAACAAGTAGCAAGTTCAGCGATACCTATGATAATTCACAGTTGACGCGTGATTATCGTTTTATACCCCCGTAATTAACGAAGTGGGAATGAAAGGGAAAGTGAGGAACGGTTGAAGGAAAACGAGTAGGGCACGGTGGAGGACAAGTGTAGTCTCGGTTGCATCGCAATTAAAATTGCAAGTTCGTTAATTTCTGGACGTTAATAAGCAGATACAGAGCCAGCCAGGATAGAAACGTTTTGCACAACAAGCAATTCGATTTAATCGATACGGGCATGTATCAGGACCGAGATCAACTCGTATGTGTGCTCGGTCGACGTGTGTGGAAGGAGATTTGGATGGCGATGCAAACGTATCGACGAAACTATCTGCGTGAGAGTTAACTCAAACAGTGCCGTAGCGAGTTCAATTCAATATCTGCGTTGGAAGCAATTCATTCGAAAATGATACTATTAATAATAACGAGAGGATTGCCTTTGAAACCGAATTTTTCGAGGATTGTTGAAGTTATTTGAAGAATCATAAAGATGTATCAAAACTGTAATAGGCAAAGGATCACAACTTTTCACATTGTGATAGATCAATATAAAAATACATCACAATCATGACAGACAAGGTGTCCCCAAGACGTTACAACTGTGACATGCAGAATAATGGTCAAGGATCACAGAGTGATCTACCACATTGTAATAGATGAGGTATCACAATAGTGATGGTCAGAGTATCACAAAGATTTATCCGACTTGTGACAAGCAACGATCACAACAGCATCGCAATTGTAATGGTCAATAGGCTAACAACGACCTACCACATTGTAATAGATGAGGTATTACAACTATGACGGTCAGAGGGTCACAGAAATTTATCCGAATTGTGGTAAGCAACGATCAGAACGACCCATTATCATAAGGTTACGCGATTTCACCATCTTCTTACGGTCCTGCGATTCCAAGACGACACGAGGCCAGAGTGACTGTGTTGCGTCCGTGTGTACAAGACACGAACGGCGCGAAGGTAAGGCGAGTAACTCCGTCGTACACGAGCGTAATCGAGATTTGTGTCACGAGTCCGTTTCCCATATACGGTAACCATAACGTTGTCTACCAGCCGGTAATTGTGCCAAGCCGGGTTACGTAACGCGTCGTTGCGCCGTGTACGAATAATAGGTGTACACTTCGGGGCCTTTTGTCGGCCCGCCTCGCGGAACACTGTCAGCTATATTTCTATGTACATCGTGTGCCCCCGTTAGAATGTGCCTCCTCTTTGCAACTAGAATTTAATCGGGGTATTTACACCAGAGGAAAATTAGAGAAAAATTAAATTGAAATAGAATAACTTGTAAGTAATTGCAGATCTAAATCTTGATTAATTTTGCTTTTATTCGTTGCAATTGATTTAAAGACACAGCAAGTCAAGCCGAAACGAGACTAAAGAGCAGTAGAAAAATTCAAACTCACAAAAAATAGTTTGCGATATATTTTCTGACGTCTATACACACCTTACACACCTACCTGGAATATTATCAGCTCCGATAACAGACCGATACGACTAGAGCGAGATTGATGAATGTATATATATATATATATATATATATATATATATATATATATATATATGTATATGGAAATGAGCGTGGGTGTGCGAATCGAACGGTAAAGGAAGTTTGCAAAGAAAAAAATGAGACGCAGGAATTGCCGCGTGATTCATAAAACGACAGAATCTAATTTATTCAACGCGTTGTAACGCAATGACTAATCGCGGCCGACAGACACCCGTGAACGCTACGTCGCGGATACACTTGAACTCTCGTTGCATTCTTATGCGGTTTTGCATACGATGCATATCTAATAAAAGGAGCAGAGGGGAATTCAATGAGCAGCAATGAAAGCACGACTTTGCGACTGATTTGTCGTCGGACGTAATCATGCTTATTTTCTGCTTTCATTGCTGCTGCACGAGCCAGGGGAACGTGTTCCTGTCGCTTTCGCGAAGTGTTCTCTTGGCAAGAGATGCAAATTATGGTTTTTTGTATGCAAATGTAATTGACATCACCCAGCCACGAGTAGATTAAAATGGAACGGTTTTACAAAAGGAGCTTGATTGCTTTGTGTTTTCATAAAACGAATGATATGAAGTTTATATTTTAGAGGAACGTAGGTATGATTAGAATTATATATGTGCCCACACAGACGTACTTTGTAATTAAAAAAGAGCATCTCCATTTTCTGCAAATAGTTTCAAAATCACAATTTTCCGTAAAGTGTACTTTGCACTATTCGATTTCAATGTAAGTTATTTTATGATTTTCAACGAAAGCTTCTTCGGTTTACATGGTGTTTACAAGTAACGATAGCGAACACGTAATTTATCGAATCGTTTCGCGCGGCTGTGTATGCATGCATGCACGCAGGTTGCTGCAAATGCACCGGCGGAGATAATGTTGCTGCACCTGGCTATCGTACCTTGAGAAAGCGGCGTTTGGAATCGATACGTTGCAACGTCACTCGTCGATGTTTCCACGGAATCATGGGATATGCTAATTTATACCTGGGTTGTAGGCTATCTCGTGACAACATTGTTAATATTTGTTAAGCGATTAGAATAGGGTGAGGTATCAAATGCCAGCTGATAGGAAATTCTTCGAAGATATATGCGTAATTTTATTCAACGTTTCAATCTTCAGATCTACTGAAATTTATTTAAAAACATTGCTTTTATGTAAACGTGATGCACAGAGCCACTGATTAATACATTTACATAGCGAACATCGACCTACCTATCTACTTAGAACGTCTGATCATTAGCGGTTCTATTCTACTCAAATGTCTGACTAGGTACGAGTATACTGTCTGACTCTACTTAAAATGTTCGTCTATATGTATACTCAAACAGGACCCTCAGGGGCTGTAGCGGTGTTTGTAGCTACAGTACGGGCTTAGCAACCCCGAGGTACCCGAACTAGAGGGGGCCCAGCGGGCCCCAATAGATGAGGAGTAAGAGATACTGCAAACAGTATTAAAACAATGCAGGAGTCATGTAAGACGATGATAAGAAAAATGAAAATAAGCTAGTAATAAGTAAGCAGTAGTGCAATAACTTTGTATAATAAGTTACGCACTTTAAATAAACAAACGTACGATGCTCAAACAACAATTTTCAGAGTTTAAAACAATACATAAACTAGTGAAAAGCGTCCCGCAACCGTACCTGGTCAGACATGAATAATAAGTAAAATAGAAATGTGCGTGGTTAGACGTTTAAAAAATTTGCCAGGTTTGTAGCTCAACGTAAATACCTCCAGATAACATCTAAACATTTGATAAATTTACACAAAAAAAAATTCTTAATTATCTCATTTTCCAAGTCGCCACGCCTGCTCGCAACGATGTTTTAAACGCGATTCTCGCAGCAGCTAATAAATTTCCCACGTTTGATAAACCCGGCGCGAGGACACGGCGTTCGCCACTCTCTCTGCAGATAATAAGAGGAGTTTCCTGGAATCGGTTGCAAAATCGTCGCAATTACAAGCGGCGCCGTACGCGTAATGGAAACAAGTATCGTTGGCTACGGGAGAGAGAACCACAAGGTCCCCTTTTTCCAGTGACGTCTCGCCGGAGAAATTTTTCCGCGACTGGTCTTATTGGATTCCGTTACTGCGGTTAAGTCGCGAATGGCTTCGGAACTTGGCGCAGCGTCCTACCAACGGAACGAAACCCTACTTCGACCGCATTACTCGAATTCCAACGAAGGCCGAAACGAGATTCTTGCTTTTTCTCGGTTGTCCACGCGTGTAAAAATATCGAACGGCGTGCGCGCGTTCACTCACCGATCGACGTCGAATCAAATTCATTTCTGACGCGGTTAAGTGGACCTCCTTTAACTATTTTCGGAATTTTATTTAACACTTTCTGGAATTTCACTCGATACGCCATGGAATTTTATTTAATAACTTCCAGAATTTGATGCAATTTAGAATTTTATTTAATACTCTAGATTTACTAATTAATTGCCACAATGTAAATGGTCGACACACTTCTGTAATGAAATGCATGGTTGCTATTTGAAATAAAAATACAATGGGAACACGAGGATATT